TCTTCTTCCCTTTTCCTCTAGTTCATGTATATATATAATCATGTTTATTTAATATATTTAATAATATTATATATTTAATATATTATTATTTTAATTATTATTACATGTTTTTAAAAATTAAACCACCCAACGCAGTTTCAGTTTTTTTTTTTTTTAAACTGAAATCAATTTCTAAATAAAACTACCAAACACATTTTCAGAAATATTTTCAAAACGAAAATGAAAACGTTTTCATTTCCATTTTCATACAGAAAACAAAATCATTTTAAAACCAATTCCAAACGCACCCAAAAGTAAACAAATGAATATGGATTTAAACCTGAGAAGGTCGTTGACGATGGCCGCTGAATCCACGCGTGGACGCCGGATAAGGATGGAGGTTGCAATTCCAAAAAGTAAAATCCAAGGTCGCGACATGGACAAAGCTCGAACTCCGTAAAAGCGAACGCCTCTGCGAGATCAAAAACTCCGCCAGATCTACCGTCGACGACACAACCAGATTTTGAACTTCGTGAAGACAAATGCCGACGACGGCCCTTTGACAGAACTCTTCTCTCTGCGCGTCGTTGAAGTAACGACAACTCTGCTTGAGCCTTTCCTTAGGTTACCTCGCCCAACTCTGCGACTCGGCATCGGCGTCACAACAGTGGTGTCTAGCTGAGTGAGAGGAGACTCATATAGCAAGGAAATGAGGGCTCGGATGTCTCGCACGGATATATAATCGCAGATCCATCATGCGATTGCACAGATCTCGACGCCGTGATGCCGAATCTGCAACAGACCGGCGACGATGACGTCAGAGATAATCGGCGGAGAGAGAGGGAGGATAGAAAGAGGTGCTGAAAGAGGAAAGGGAAGTGAAGAGAGAGAGACACCAATAGAGGAGAGAGAAAAAGATGCTAGAGAGATAGGAAAATAAAATAATGAACCCTAATATGATATATAAAAAAAATGATATTTAAGGGTTGTTTTTTTACGACGAAACTCAGAAAAAGTTTAAACTCGAATTATAATTTTATTTAAGTTTATATTCTTTTGTAAAATTTAAGTTTGCACTCGAGTTTAAACTCGAGTTTGAATTCGAGTTTGCACTCGAGTTTAAACTCGAGTTTGAACTCGAGTTTGAGGTTAAACTCGAGTTCAAATTTCCTTTTAAATTCGAGTTCATAAATTCGAACTCAAATTAATGAATAATATTTTTTATATTCTTAAAAATGTCATAATTTTTTTGTTTTAATTTTGATTGAGATGATTTTTTTTCTATGTATTTACAACGAAAAGACGAATAAAATTTCACCCATATACCTTATTAAAATTTTTCATCACCATTAAGTTTCTATTAAAATACTATCTAAATATAAATTAATTGATTCGGTGATCGTAATCTTAAAATTTTGACTCACTCAAACACAAACAAGATTATCAATTCAAATCATAACTCAAATGTGCACATTCAAACACAAACTTAAGTTACAACTTCAACTCAAGTTATAACTTAAACTCAACTTAAATCTTTTTAAAATGTGAAAAAGAAATCAAAAGTGGTAGAGTTTTTTAAAGAGATAGAATTATTAGATCAGGTGAATTATATGGGTAAAATATGTAATTTACTTTTTTAATGGATAATCTTGATAAATACTTTTTAAAAGTGTACGAGTTAAAATTTTTATTCTTTATTATTAATTTATAATTTTTTTAATCAAATAATTACAATAATAAAAAAGATTTTAATCAAATAATTATAATAATAAAAAAGTTTTTATTAATAAAAGATAAAAATTTAAACTCATACACTTTAAAAATAAATTTTATATTTTTGTAATGCCAACACTACTGTACTCGCTAACGGCTTCATACCTTTTGGGCCAAAATCCTTGAGACGAAGCGAGACAAGAAAGAAAAAATAAAAAATTTATATTTAAGAGCGTATAAATCTAAATTTTATATTCTTATTAATATAATTATTTAATTAAAAAAATTATGAATAAAAAATAAAAAAACTGGCATTTTAAAGTGCATATGTGAAGATTACACACCCTTTCCCCCCCCCGAAAAATCCCTCTTTATTTCCAACACAAAACCCTCGTGACTCACTTTCAAATGCAGATTATACCGGCGAGCTTTCTCACCAATCTTCCCGATCGTTCGCGGATTTTTGATCTCCGAAACCCGTTTCAGGCGCCGTTTCTACTGGTCAGCGCCGTTTCTTTGTGGTCTTTTTGCGGAAGAAGAAACGCTTTTGACTATCTACTTTCTTGTGCAGTTTTTTTTTTTTTTTTTTTTTTTTTTTTCTCTTGGTTGCCAAAAGTACTTTCTTGTGCTGTTAATTGGACTGTTCTAGGGTTTTTTGCTAAGTACATTATTCGCATTTCTTTGAGAATGTCGTTTTAATGTTTTCGGTTTGGGTTATTTTTGGTTGATGAGAAAGAATCGGGGCGATTCACAGGGAAATGCTTGCACGTACTTTTCAAGTGAAATATGTTTTTAAGTGGGATTTCCCTCGTTTTCTTTTTTCTCTTGGTATTTTGAGGTTTGGAAGGGTCCATATGTGTTTTGTTTGTGAGATTGATGTTGAACACTTGTTTAATTTTCTATATCCTTCCTTCTGTTTTTTATTTTATTTTTATTTTTAAGAGAGAGAGAGAATTTATGGTATGGACCCTCATTATGTCGTTGTTAGTTCTTGTGGGTTTGCATGTCTTTTTGGTATTTGGGGGTTTTTGTTTGACATATGCAGCTTGCAAAAGTTAAGATTTTCCCATGATTGTGTTGATTCTAAGTTCTCATTCCCCATTAGCTGTGCTTTTTAGAGATTTTCTCTCCAAACAGATGAAAGGGTCCGTTGCTCTTCTTGGTTGTTTGATTAATCTGTTCTAAAGTCTAGGGTTTATGTTCTATATTTAATTTTTATTGTCAATTTTGAATCTTCTGCTGTGAAGAATATTATCCCTTTGTAATTATATTGCTTCCTCTTTTCATATGTGTATTTCAGTTTTGCAGCGAAACTTTGAAACGGAGTTTTTTTGGTTTATTTTCCATTTTTCAATTTTATTCTTACTGTTGTGAAGTTGGTTACTTGATCATGTAACGTGAACCGTTGTCATGCTTTTTCTGACCAGCATTGAAAAATGTAGGTATCTTTCGATCTTGGGAGCTGATAGCTGAAATAACTGGAAAGTGAAAACAGTAATGGCGCCGAACCCAAGAGTTCAAGCAGCCTTTCGGGCTATGAAGTCTCTTGGAGTCAAGGAAACTAAAGTCAAGCGTGTACTGAAGAAGCTTCTAAGATTGTATGATAAAAACTGGGCACTAATTGAAGAAGAGAGCTACAGAGCTTTAGCGGATGCGATATTTGAAGAGGATGATAGCGTAGATCAAGAGAAGAATAAAGGGAATGATGTCAACGTCTGTAATTCGAGCTCGTGAATTTTTTCTGCTTTGTGCTTTTCTTTCTCTATACCTTAAATAAGCTGATTTTTGCCTTTTTGCATGAATTAGCAGGAAGACAATTTGGAGGGAGAAGAGCTTGGGCAGGAGCCCGAACGTCCCTTGAAACGGTTGCCCTTGAAACGGTTGCGCAGAGGCGCCGAAGTTCATCAGGTTTCAACTTATCTTGATACTGATACTGATTTAAATAGACCTAATCTAGAGAAAGATGAACCAATTTGAAACTTGTTTTCTGCAGCAGCCTGAAAACATAACAGAATCACCGGAGCCAAGGGATGAAAGTTGTTCAATTTCACAAGAGCATGGTGCTAAGAATAAGGGCAAGCAACCAATTATTTCTGAACCTCCAGTTCCGCAACAAAGATTATCTCCATTGGCACCTGCAGGGAAGAGAGTGATTTCTGAGAGAGCATCTCACGGTGTGTGCTTGAGAGAGCCAACTGAAACGGGAAGTGATCTTTTTCCTAAACAGACGGTTCCTAACCATCAATTGATTAAGCCTAAAGACGAGCCATTCATTGATGACATGATTATGGGTGACATACGTCAGTACGAGGTTCCTATTGCAGTGATCCATCCAGGTATATAATACTAGGAGAGGGAGGGGTAGACCAAGAATTAATGGACCGAAGTCGTTAGGAAAGACATTCTAGATCTAGGCCTTCAGGAAAGTATAATTTTGAACAGAGCCGTGTGGAAAAGTGAAATCCATATAGCCGACCCCAATTAAGTTGGGATTAAGGCTTGTTGTTGTTGTTGTTGTTGTTGTATTTATTTTGCTTCTGATTGCGTCTTTCCTCATCTGGTTCGTTCATAGTTTTCAGAAACATGATTTACTATCTGAAATCAGTCTGTTTTATTTTAACTTATGAACACGTGCTAAAACCTTTTTTGCTCCGTTCTGTTTGAAATGTTTAGGTGCCTATTTAATGCTTTGACTGAGAATTATGCATTTTAATGATTGTCAATCAATAAAATAAGAGGCCAACGCTTTATCATATTTTTCGTGGATGTTATAACTGTATCTTTCTTTTGATTCCATCTCATTCAATTTTTACAGATCTATCGAGTGAAAAAGATATGCCGATGGAAAATGATGAAAATAGCAAAGAAATTGGTAAGGAATCTTCATTTCAGTGCAAGGATGGAGGAACGAGAGCTGATGGTATTCCATCTCCATGCGGGGAAATGGAAACAAATGTTTCAACCATGCGAGAGGAATCGCCATCTAATTTAGATGTTGCAACCTCACCCTTAGGAGAGGTAAAACTTTCTCTGAGCTGCAATTCAGCTGTTCGAAGGCCCAATTTCCGTATGCCTAAACTAGATGCTGTTATAAGACTGACGGAGGAAAAATTTCTGCATTCATACAAAATCGTTGACCCAAATTTTTCTGTCGTGAAACTGTTGAGACATGTGTGTGAAAGCTGCTTAGAACTTGGAACTGATTCCGTTGACAAATCACAGGATAATCACGTACAAGCTAGTGAGATGACTCTTGCAAACGGTTGTGGTGGGAAAGATATAGACGGTGAACAAACTCACGTCAATGGTTGTGCTGTGAAACATAAAGACAGGGAACTAGAAGACCATGGATTGACGAATGTGACAGATTTGGCTGTTGTTCCACTCTGCGAACTGGCTCATGATGATTTAAGATCTCGTCATGATATTAATGATATAGCTAAAGGTGAAGAAGGGGTCAGAATTCCCTGGATAAACGAAATAAATAGCGAGCGTCCGCCATCCTTTCACTATATCTCCCAAAGCCTTGTTTTCCACAAGGCAGAGATTAGTATCACTCTTTCTAGGATCGGGGATTTGAGTTGCTGTCCAACTTGCTTTGGTGATTGTGTATCAGCATCTATACCCTGTGCTTGCGCTCAAGCAATTGGCAGTGAGTTTGCATATACGTCTACAGGCCAACTTACGGATGTGTTTTTGGACTCATGTATCTCTATGACTCGTGACCCTCAAAAGCAGTGCCAAGTCTTTTGTGGAGAATGCCCACTTGAAAAATCAAAAAACGATGTTTGTTTGGAAGCTTGCAAAGGTCATCTGAAAAGGAATTTTATTAAAGAGTGCTGGAGTAAATGTGGCTGCAATAAAAGCTGTGGCAACCGCGTGGTGCAGCGAGGCATCACTCGCAAGTTGCAGGTTTCGATTTAAACAATTTGATGCAAAAGGAATTTTATTAATTTTTCTGACCCCCCTCCCTTTTTTTTATTCAAATGTAATAGAATATTTTCTGTTCCTGTTCTCAAATTGCACCAGAATTTGTGTATGGTTATTAGTTTTAATTTATTTTTTCTTGTGATTCTTTTTTCTCAACTAACTGCAGCTTCTCTAATTAGATTACGTTATATCTTAGGTGTTTTTCACTTCTGATGGAAAAGGATGGGGTCTGCGAACCCTTGAGGATTTGCCAAAAGGTTCATTTGTCTGCCAGTATGTTGGAGAAATACTGACTAGCGCAGAGTTGTATGAGAGGAACTTGCAATGCGACAAGAGTAGGAAAGACACCTATATAGCTCTACTTGATGCTGACTGGGGTTCTAAAACAGCTTTGAAGAACGAAAAAGCTGTGTGTTTGGATGCATCACGTTATGGAAATGTTGCTAGGTTTATTAATCATAGGTACGTTTACAAAGTCAGATAACCATGGCCTTCATTTCTTAGCCTTTAAAACCGTTAGAACAGAGAGGTAAAGTGGAGCTTGTACCAGAGGCTTTATGCTTTAAAGTGGCTATGGCTTTTATACCTGAACTTAACCTTCAAAAGACAGGCAACTGATGGATGCCTTCTTTCTCTCTCTTTCCTTCTTCCAAATTCCAATAGTCTATAATGTTTTGTCTGTTGTTAATCACCTGTCGAGTATTGTTGCTAATTTTTTCAAACAAAAGATATTGTAAGAAATGCCATTTGTGGCCTCATGGGGGAACAAAGATAAGCCAGTTGCAGTTGTATTTTATGTTTTTCTACGTCCTGGGTGTTCAGTTTTCAAGTACGTTATAATTTTTTTTTTAAATGAATTTTTCCAGATGTTTGGATGCAAACTTGGTTGAGATCCCAGTTGAAGTGGAAACCCCTGATCGTCATTACTACCATGTATGGTGCTTTTTGTTATGTCTTTTGTTTGTGATGGCGGTCTCAACTCTTTACTTCAACCCGTTTGATGAGTTGTTTGACTTGTTCTGTTGTGCAGCTTGCTTTCTTTGCAACGAGAAAAATAGATGCCATGGAAGAGCTAACTTGGGTTAGTATATTTTGTAGACTTTTGTAATTGGTTCTTTGCAGATTACATACTTGGGTTTCGACTTTTTTCTCCTTGAGATGACATGGTACTAAAACTGAAAATGGACTTCTTCATTTTATGTTCAATCATTGGAATCTTTGTAGTCCGTTGTCCTCCGCTAAGTGGTCCTATATATGATGTGTTTGCAGGATTACGGCATTGACTTTGATGACCATGATAATCCTATTAAGCCATTCCAGTGCCGTTGTGGCAGTAAATTCTGTCGGAACATGAAGCGTAGTAAGTGTCATTTACTTCCTCTTTATTTTATTTTATTTTTTGCTGTGACGTCAAATCTCCAAACAAACATGTCTCATAACCAGTAAGTGAGATGGTTAGTGTCCTATAATTCTGTTCCTTCCCTTTCCTGTTGGCATTAGTTTGCTTGTTTTCTTTATGGACACGAACATGATAAGTCTGTCTGTTGGATTAAATTTGCATTGGCCTGTATTGTTTTTGTAATTGTTTTCGCTGCTTCTGGGGACACACCTTTTTATGCATTTCAGGATCCAAGTGAACAACCTCAAATTCGAGTGAACAGCCTTCAAGTATCTGATCTTTCGCACCTTTTGGGACAGTTTTTCGTTTTGAAGAAATAGTGTTTAAATATCTTACATCATCTTGTTTATTTCGTTTTTTGACTGACCATCCAACTGAAAACTGACGAAGAGGTAGGTTGTCTATAGCCAAACAACAAAGTAATTTTCTTGGATGTTTTTTGTACAGTGGTTCATAGATGTATATAGGACAAACCGCCTTTGCAGCAGTTGCGTTACTACGTAGGTCTCGAAGTTGTATGGACGACTGTTTTGTCCAACCAAACCATTGGGACCATGTTCTTCTGTTTTGATTTTAATGTCAACAACAATGTTATTTAGTTCATTTATCCGACATTACATAGCTCGCGTACTACTAATGCTTTTGCAGCCGAAGTAACACAAATAAGGGGCCTTTTGTTTTCATCCCCGCCTAAATGCAAAAAAGAAATGTTTTCTCCTTGCACTTGATGTCATTTCAGTTTCGGGCTTTCATTATCTTCTTCATTTAAGGCTATGTTTTGGTAAGAGAGGAAGAAAAGAAAGGCATATATCCAGTGACGGAGCTAACATTTACTCCAGTATTTATATTTATATTTTTTCTAAAACATAAATAACATAAAAATATATATAATAAATTACATTATAATATTTTTAAAGAACAATTAAGTACATATTGTGAATTTTATTATATAAAAAATTACATCCGTGTTTATAATTGATCCCGATTTTATTTTTTATGTTTTTTGAGAAAAAAAAATAAAAACGTTTTTAAAACGGCATTTGGCACAATAAAGACAAAAAATGAAAATGAAAATGATTTTTTAGTTTAGTATAAAATGAGAGAAATAAAAAATGATTTTTAGTCGTTTTTCATTTTTTATTTTCGTTTTCTCCTTTTTCAAAGCAGAGAGATAATAAGAGAGACATTAATGGTTTTTTACACTGAAAATAATTTCTTGATAAAACTACTAAACGCATTTTCAGAAATGATTTTAGTCTGAGATTGAAAACATTTTCATTTTAATACAAAAAATAAAATTATTTTAAAACGAGTTCTAAACGCGCCCTACATCACTGTAGGGTTTTGTGTTGAAACTTGTAGAATTTTTTAATATATAAAAAGGTGTTATTGTATACCTTTTTTATTTTGATGTAATTTTAATCAATTTAGTGTTTAGAATTGTGCTTACCAATAATAATACTCTACCATAGATTTCTTTTTCATTTCAATATCTTGCATTTCGATGAGATAAAAAAACCATGCATTATATTTTATATTTGTCACATTTATAGCTTCTGATTTCAAAATTATGCTCAATTTTTATATTTTCTTGACCAACGCTCAATTTAACTACAAAACAGATCCTAATTAATGTCGTCAATAAAATAAAAGAATTAGGAACAAGAATTGTAAAAATTTAGAATATTAAGGGTCTGTTCACTTCGCTGATTCGAGTTTGTAATTCGAGTTGAGATGTGATTTTATGTGAAAACTTTTTACTGTAGCAAAAAAGTTAGATGTGATTGTTTGTGAGAGCTTTTTACTGTAGCAAAACTCGAATTTGTGAAGTGAACGGGCCTTAGGTCTTTTTCATAGCCAAAATCAAGTTGAGACCAAAAAAATGTAAATTTAACATAAAATATATATGTGATGTAGTAAAAAATATAAAATATCATAAAAGTATTACAATTGCTCGTGAGTAAAATTAGTAAACTTGTTTATAAATGAAATCTAAGAATAAAATGAAGAAAAATGGTAAAAGTTAGGGGGCATGTATGAGAATATAAAAACTGAGTGGGGCCCCCACTCGGCACCAAGTGTCTCTGCCGCTGCATATGTCAGAGGTGAGGAAAATAGAGAGGAAAGGAGGACAGAGGTTTGGTACGCAGAAATATAGAGAGACTGGATTAAAATATATATTAAAATTGGTGTTCTAAGTAGGGGTGGTAATTCGTGTCACGTGTCGTGTTCGTGTCGTATTTTGATCATTTTTTTTAATTTGCAGTCAATCCGAACACGACCCGTGACACGAAATTTTTTAAAAACCGTAACACGAACACGACACGACCACTTTATGAGTTGACACAATACGACCCGAAAGACCCGTGACACGAAATTAACCCGTGAATCCGAAATTGACACGAAAATTGTATACTTTTATTTAGTTTTTTACATATTAGAAATAACTTAAAATTCATAACACACTAAATTACAATAACATCTATTGAAATTAAGCAAATAATAGTATAAGATTTTGAGTATAACTATCATGATAAAATTTAAAATGAAAAATATATGTATTTTTTAGTTTTTTACGAGTTTCGTGTCGTGTTCGGGTTAAGCGGGTCCAACCCGAATTGACCAGTGTTTTTCGTGTCAATTTTAGGTCGACCTGATTCTAACCCGAACCTCTTTTTTCTCAACCCTAATCTGCAAAATTCGTGTCGTTTTCGAGTCGTGTCGTGACCCATATTGTCGGCCCTAGTTCTAAGAGTGACGCAGAAATTGAAGCCAAAGACTAGAATTCAGCAATTTCCATATATCATAACTATTAATTACACGCACATATGTACATACATGTATAAGATATAAGTTGTTGGAGATGTATCTACGACACAAATATCTCAGCAGTTTTATCTGTCAACGACAGCAAATCCCTGTTGTGAGGTCTGCAGAGGACTTCATGCTCACACCCCGAAGGCATGATAGGTCTAATGCTGCCTGGATTCAGTGGAAAAAGTATTTTGTAGTATCCATCCATGATCGCCAGAAAATTACAAGTTTCTGCAACCTTTGGAATCTGTTCAAAACACAAAACACAAAACCAACCCTCATTTGTTATTATTAGCATAATAAGATACATATAAGAAACCTAACAATGTTGTCCAAACCAGGCAAAAAAATTTACCTGGTAAATGTCACGCATATAGGCATGGAGATTTGGGTACTCAATCAACTTCTTTTTTGTGCACTTGAACAAGCCATTGTACACAAGATCGAACCGAATCAAAGTAGTGAACAGGCAAACATCGGCCAAGGTGAGTTTATCTCCACACAAATACCTCGTACTCCCAAAGTGAACATCCAACATGTCCAGCGTATCAAACAACTCATTCACCGCTTTGTCGTACGCCTCTTGGCTCTGAGCAAATCCGCACCTGCGCAATTCAATTTCAATGTTACTAAATTAAAATGGAAAGTCCTTTTTTTCCGCAGGTTTGAATCACAGTTTAAACTTTTTTTTTTCCTCTGAAATTTAAATTTCTGTTTAAAGTTATAAACCAAACGGGAAATGTCGAAATGAAATCAGATTATGGGTCTCAAGGTTTGTAATTATACCTGTAAACTCCGTTGTTTACATTCCGGTAAATTATATTATTCCACTTCTCAATCTCTTCCTTCAAAGCTGGCGGTGAGAGATCCAATTTCGGGTTTTGGGCCAACCCGTTTAGACCCGAATTGAATAGTTGAATGATATCATAACTCTCGTTGCAAACGACATCGTTTTTCTCGGTATCCCAAAGCATTGGCACCGTGGAACGTCCATTATACCCTCCTTTCCTCAGTCCATAAACTTCCTTCAAAGTTCTACGCTTATTAGCGTTATCCGGACCCGGGACAAGGATATCCTTATCCGCAGCCCGAACATCGTTGTTGAACTTGAATTCCCACGAGCCGTCAGTGCCCGGGGCGGCGACGGAGACGGGAACGGCGTCTTCGAGGCCCTTAAGGGCCCGGACGACGAGGGTGCGGTGGGCCCAGGGGCAGGGGAGGCCCACGTAGAGGTGAAGATGAGGATTGTGAGAGGTTGGGCTTGGGCCGTGGGGGAGTTTGTTGGCCCGGAATCTGGAGGCGGGCCGGGAGTAACCGCCGGAGGGGTCGGAGGGGGCGAGCTGGGACATCATGAGGCGCCACGTGGAGTGCCAGGCGGTGCGGACGGTGGAGATGAGGAAATCCGGAGGGAGGGATGGGCCCCACAGGAGCTTCGTGATTGAGGAGAGGATGGAGGAAGGGACGTCTGATGGGGTTTGGTTGTTGAGAGACATCGTTGGCCTAAAACGGCGTCGTGTGGTGGTGGAGGGTCGTGGGATTGGGAGGTGGGAAGTGAGGAGTGAAGTAGAGCAGTGCATTTCTTTCTTGGCTGAGGACCGTAGTCGGTATAACAATTCCGAGGACATATATAAACATTACTGTTTAGTATATTGGTCGTCGAAATTCGACATACGGTTATTATTCCTTTCAAAAATAAATAAATGGATACATAAATAAATACAAAATGTTTTTAATTTTGATAATTTAATCTCTAAAACATTGTTGCAATAGAGTCCAAATTGATTACAATGTTTTATTTGGTGGCAGAAAATAGATTTTTCCTTAAAGATTTTAATTTTTTTTTTTTTGAGAATGTGTATTTTTTTTAATTTGTTATAATTTAATTTCGGTTCCAAAAAAATATTAGGACCAAGTTATCTTGAAGAATCAGAATGAATAGAATTGGATTTTGCTGGCCTAATTCAGATGGAGAATTCTTGAATTCACCTAAAAGAAATCTCACAAGGAGAAAACTCTAAATTTGAGAGAAAACTCAATTCTAATTCAATTATCAAAATATTCAAAGTCCTTTTTAATACAATAATTAAGTGGTTATTGCTCACCTAAAAACGATAACAAAATAACGACTAAGATAAACGATATAATAATAATAATAATAAAACTTAACTAAATTAAAAAGCTATAATAAATGACAATAAAATAGAAAAATGACTACTTATATTCAGAACTCCCTACATTATATCTATTTTTATTTGGAGGACCAAATGGGCTGTTGATTCTTTGAAATGTAAATGTTGTAATAATTAAATGAAAAAAAATAAATATATAAGTAAACAATATTATATATTACATTTGGTATAAAATTTAATATCAAGTCTTAGAAAAAAGATAAGACTTAAAAAAATAACATTATAAAGTGTGTTTTTAATCAAATGTTCATAAGTTTAATTTTGTACACTAATTCAACTGCTGCAATGGAGATGCTCTGATATTTTCCTATTAAATTTCTTGTATGTTTCATTATTCGTCGATACGAGTTTCCAGTCGTTTTGTTTATAGCGAGTGACGTTGATTAGTGCTCAATCTAAAATCTTGGTAGTCGTTTATGTGCAAAACGACGTGTTTTTGGTTTAAAGTTCGTTCTACTAATTAAAAATGACGCGTCGTTTAAAAATACTACATCGCACGGCAAAGAATTGCGTCACATATTAACTATCATGCACCTTGGTCATAACTAGGAGTTTTTTTAAAAAAAAAAAAAAAACCTACCAGAGATCGCATCATGACCGTTCGATCATCTTGCAGCTGCTTTATATCGACCAAAGCGCTTATTTCTTCCATTGCGCCGACTGAGGCTTGTTCTTCTCTCTTTCTCTGCGGTCCTTCGCAAACCCTAATCGGTCCAAGGTAAAATCTCTCGAAATTCTTCTTTTCTAACATCCTATATGATTTCTCTGATCACCATTGAAGTTCTTAGTATTTCATTTCTTCGTCAGGTTATTCAGTTTTTGAATTATGAGTCAATAGGAAGAATTAATGAAGAGCATACATTTTGATGAACTCAAACGATTCTAGGGTTTATGCTATTATTGTTGCTGTTTTGTAAACAACTTATTTTGTGAGAATCTCCTTTATTTAATCTTAATCTTCCATTTTTATTATAGTATATCTCGTAATTTTTCGGTGTTTTGTTTGATATCTGCAACTTTTTAGCTTTACAAACGGTTAATGATCATGAGTTTTTTGATAGTTTGCAAACGATTTTTTTGATATCTGCAACTTTTAGCTCTGGACCCGCTTAATGATTTTGCTTTTTAGCTTGTTCTTTTTTTTTTAATTTATTTATTTTCATTTTTCGCTTCTCTGAGACTGTTCTGGGATTCTGAAAGCAGGTACATTTCGTCTGATTTGGCAGAGGAGAGAGATCCAGGATGTCGAAGAGAGGTAGAGGTGGCTCTGCCGGTAACAAGTTCAGAATGTCACTGGGTCTTCCAGTGGCTGCAACCGTGAACTGTGCGGATAACACCGGGGCCAAGAATTTGTACATAATCTCCGTTAAGGGGATTAAGGGAAGGCTTAACCGTCTTCCCTCTGCTTGCGTTGGTGACATGGTCATGGCGACCGTGAAGAAGGGCAAGCCTGATCTCCGTAAGAAGGTCCTTCCCGCGGTCATTGTCCGCCAGAGGAAGCCCTGGCGCAGAAAGGATGGGGTTTACATGTACTTTGAAGGTCTGAAACACTTTTTAACGCTCTATAATCTTTGGAGTATCCGAATCTTTTTTTATTTTTGCCCGTATGTTGCTTCTGTGCCTTTAGTTTGAGTGTCCAATTGGATTAAATGGTTTGGTCATTGGTAGTGAGGAGCATATATTAATCTCAAAAGTGCCAGTTTTTAACAGCATGATGTTTCACTCTGTTGCATTGTGTTACCTGTCTGCTGGTACATGTTCCAAGAATTTTGGAAATTTGCTATGCTTATATTTTGTTTTGTTATTTGGTTGGATCAAGTAGCCACTGATTTTATCCACTTTTTTTAATTTTATTTTTTATACTTAAACTAAAAGTGTGACACTAAATTATTAAATTTGGATTTTGCATAAGGAATCAGAGTTCTGAGTCCTATGTCTGTTCACCTTAATTTTCCTTAGTTGATTTGATGGTGGGAAATGCACATGATTTATTGTTACTGTGTCATATTATTTATAGTACTTGATTATTGTGTTTTCTTACGAAGTATGAACTTAGTTTTTCTGAAGCCTATTTTTTTGTCCTTGCAGACAATGCGGGGGTTATTGTGAACCCAAAGGGCGAAATGAAAGGTAATTATTGATATCCTGCTTCGTTTTACACGCGTACAAATGCATTTGGTTGGATCCTATGCTAACATTTTCACATACAGTGGATAATGTAATCATATTATCTCTTGTCAACTTCTTTGGACAGTAGGATAAATTTTTGTTTCTGGTTTTTGCAGGATCGGCTATCACAGGACCAATCGGGAAAGAGGGCGCAGACCTGTGGCCTAGGATTGCCAGTGCCGCCAA